CACTTCCAGGGCAAAGATCTGCACAAAGCACCTTCTCTCTGCAGCAGCTGGAGGTGGAGGCTGCCTCGAGTACCAGAGAGTGAAGGCAGGACAAATACTATGTGACTGTCACCACACACTATTATCAGTGCCTGCAGGATTTAAAGATGGATAGAGCTTGAAGGTAATTCACTTCGAAAGCTCTAACTCCCATGCACTTTTCTTCAGAGAAAAGCCATACGTTAATCATTAATAAGAAAGGAGGGTGTAAGCACCTGGCTCTGACAGCCGTTCCTTGAACTCAGCATGCAGAGATGGGAAGAAAAAATGGACACACCAGTATCACTGAGACACTCACACAGTCATTTCCACGTGCAGAGAGAACTCTTCTGCCAAAACGAGACCACAGACTGTTTGACAAACCATCTCTACCCCCGTGTGCCTCTCAGACACACACGCTCCTGCTCCAAACAGCGTGTGCTGTAGGTGTTTGCATCACACACACAGTCACCAGGATATACAGAGTGGGACTCGAGGAACGAGTTCATTACCCTGTACGACTGAAGCACCTTATCTCACACCTACCGTAACTCTTGGGTTTTGATTCCATGGGATGGGACTCTTAATTTATACCTACAGGATTCCCAGTTGTCTCTAGGACCAACCACTTCAAAATCCTTGAGCTACTGGCATTTACCAACTCCAGGGGAGGGTAAGGACAGAGGTGCCAATTCCACGTTAAAGACAGGAAAGTCAAAATTGGTGAGTGAAGTCCGGAGCCACTCGGGCACTAAGGAGCCTAAATCTCCCCAAAACCAGAAAGAGATAGGGCTATTAAAAATTAGACCACAAAAAAGTTTATACCATTAATCTTGCCTGTAATTATGGCAGAACAGCAATTAAATCCATACTTCCCAAGTCTCCCGTCACAGCTCTAGCCACCAGGTCGTCCCTTCTCTTCTCAGGAGCTGATGTTGCACAAGCTGTTCTGAGCAATTTCCCGCTGAAGAATGTATGGTTTTAGTGGAAGTCAAACGGGCCCAGTTTGTTTGTGTTCCTACACCCACGGCCAGGTCTCTGAACCCTGAGGCTATTTGTGAATGCGAATTCCTGGGTACTTGGAGAATTGACAAGAAATGCCGCAACTACAGATGGTACCCTGGAAAAAGGAGCACTTTGCATCTGTTTGCTATGCAAATTAATTCATTTAACATTTGTTGACAGCAGGTCAGTTTAGCACAGGAATCAGGATAGAAAGTTAGCAATTTAGGAACTAAGTTCTACTCTGTCCTCTTAGAAGTGAAAAAAATCCAAGGGAGAATTAAAAGTAATTAGGCAGAAAGCAGCAATTAAGCCCAGAATGAATTTCATTTTTAAACCATTAAAATCCTTTCTGCTTCCAGAGAACGAGGAATCCTGGTGGATATCTGCACAGAAACCAAAAATGGGAGTGCAGCAGGACTCAGTGACCCACAGACGTGAGGCTTCATCCTGGTGGATATCTGCACAGAAACCAAAATGGGAGTGCAGCAGGGCTCACTGACCCACAGACGTGAGGCTTTCCCCTCCAGAGCAGAGAAGCTCCTGGGAGAGAGCTGGGGACACGGGGAGGTCCCTGTCCCTGCCCGGGCACAGGGGAGCAGCCTCAGCCCCACGGGCTGGTACCTTCTAACGCACCTCAGTTGTGGGAAGGATCATGAAATGGCCTTCTTAAGAGGCACCAAATCATTGCACTATTTAAACTGGAGGAGAATACAATTTAAAAACCAATGCTTCTGGATTGCAAATCTCAGCAGAGATTTTGGGGGTTTACATTAAAAAAAAAAAAAAAAGACAGTAACTAGGAGAGACATTGTCCACATACCTAAAAGAATAAAATACAACATGAAGACATGAAACTTGTACTCCAAATGAAACAAAGAAACATCTATGCATATTTAATGATTCTCCCAGCAAATGTCTTCCTTACTTCTTCCTCAGTCCTACTTTGCTGTAACCAAAAATCCACTCAATGCCAATGAATTATTTTTGCTTTGTTTTCTAGGGTTCCTTTCCAGACTTCCACTATACCTATTTCTGTCAACCAGTTTCACAGAATATAATAGCTACATTTTATAATATGATACCCAGGGTAGCATTTATCACAAAGCTCATGATCATTTTAAGTAGTAAAATTATTATGGACTCTGCAAAGCCATTCATCATATTGGGTCTGCTCCTATAAACAGAACACAGCAATGAGAGAAGAAACATCTTTTTCCTGATCCGAGGACAAGAACGGAGACAAAACTATCATCACCTGCACTAGTTTTGGAAAACTTCAGTCTTTCTTGGTAAAGAGAAAACTGCAACTCTGGTGCTGGTACAAATGTTTGATGAGACTCTAGAGCATCCTTCTGTCCCACAGGTACCTGCAGCACCGCACTGTCCCTGCTGCCAGCCCCAGCCTTCACCCACACCTGGGCACGAGCCCCCTGAGCTGACCATGAGGAGAAGTGCCCCTGCCCTACTCACACCTGGACACACACCAGCTCCTCAACTCCTGGAGTCAGGAGGGAGAGAAACCAAGGAATTACACAGGGAAAAAAAAAAAAAAAAAAAGTGCTGTAGACAGGACTGGAAAGGACAATGGGATGGACTGGGATTTTAAGAAGAGGTAAAGGCAAATAAGTGTTGTTTGTTTGTTGGGTGGTTTTTTTTTTTTTTAATTACTTGCTTCCAATAATTTTGAAATGTTTCCAAGGCTCCACATTATCAAAAGAGAGACCTAGATTAAGAACAAAGTAAAGATCAGAAAGCAGTGTTAAAAAAAAAAAGCATGCAAATAATTAACTGGCAGTTCACGCTGTGAATCACTGGGTTTGAAACAAACTCGCCCACATCTGTTGATAAACTTCATTAACTGAAAAAATGATACTGAAACGAATGCCATCCTGCACACGTAATGCCTCCCTTCTGCGGGGACATCTGAATGCAAGGACAGCTGAAACCTCACAAGTTCAAAGGTTCTCTCAGCCCTTTTGGAAGACAACACAGCACACACCTGAGGCTCCCTTCCAACGGGGACAAAGGAGGCTGGCGCACCATCAAGAGGACTAACCTCCCAATTAAAAATCAAATTGGCAAACAGTTTGTAGTCTGCAATAAGCTCCATTCATGGAAAATTGAATTTCTAGAACCAGCTACTGTGTCAACAAGAGAAGAGCAGGCAAAGGGGTCTTTAAGCACTGACGTCTGTCAGACAGATGGCTGCAACAATTTATTCTCTGCTGGTGTTAACTATCTTATCTGGCTGGTGCTTGTAAGGATGAGCTGCAGAGGATTTCAACAAACAATGCAAAATTCTTTCCAGCAGTAGTAATGATAATGACTTTTGATATGTCCAATTTTATCCCTAGATCTGGAAGTGCTCTACAAAAGGTATGTAACATCACCCACACTGTGACAAGAATTATGACAGCTCATACCTCACCTGCTCCTGCATCTTCCCTGTCCTGGGCCTGCTTTATCCCACTGCCAGAAGTAAGGAGACAGCAAGACACCTCCCCTGTGCAAGAGGCTGTTCTCTCCAGGGCACAACACACAGACAAACTACCTTTTTCAGATTAGCCCTCCCTGCTAACCTGCCATCACATCTCTATTTACCTTAAGGAACCCATTTCAAGCATGAAATCACCTTCCCCCACACCCGACTGAAGCTTCAGATTTTCCACAACAGGCCTGTGACAGCAGAGGCTGCAGCTGGAAGGGCTGAAACACCTTTCCACCCATCAACAACAGAAGCAGCCTGGCTGCCAACCTGGTGCATTGGAAGTGCATCAAGAACACTTTTAATTACCAAGTTCAAATTCTCTAACTAACATATCTCAGTACTCCTCTGCTCCACTGCCCTCTTCATTTGCCTTTAAGAACACACAATGTTCAAAGTGGCATAAGCTTTTGCATGTCCTGTAAAACCAGTACCTTTAAAATAATAAAAAAAACCCCAACAACCCCAAAACCCCAAACCACCCAAGCCCAAACAAACAATAAACAAAAGAAACCCCAAAGCTCTCCTGGAATGCAGATGTTCAAGTGCATCAGAGCACTGCACACACTAATAAAAATTTATGATGTGGATTAGGTTAGTCTACTAATGATCAATTTATTGTCTACACTTTCTGGAAGATCTCACATTCATTCAGATAATCCTTTTATCCCCCACCATGACTAATTTCCTCTTGCAGAACACCATTAGAAAATGCGACACTAGTAAGTAAAAACCTATGATGTCTGGAGCCTACTTAAAGGACCTTAGTTTCCAGTGGAACTGCAAATAATTTCAGTAATGGGCCCTTTCAGAGCACTTTTCATTACTTTCTTCATTTGTGAAGTTACTCGGGGGAATAGTTGTTGCAATTTAGAGACCACAAGCCCAAGAAACAGAAATGAACCGGCTTCTGAGGATGCATTAATCAGTAGAAGTCTGACAGAAGTACACTTCAGAGCAAAGGAAGGTACAATGCCAAATCTTTATTAGTTTTGTCCAAACTAATTGACTTCATCATAAAGGTGAAGAATCTAACAGGGCATCTCCACTGTTTTATCTCAAAGAAAAGCCAAGTGAGAGGCTCTGTGTTTAGGGAACACTGGTTCTTTAGGTTTTTCAAACTGCTTTAGGACTGCTCCTGACCCCAGCTGCCAGCACGTACGCCCTACTCTCAAGGGGCTCTCACAAATGCAAATAAAATTTCTAACCAGAAAAAGCTCCTTTGCAAAGAATATTAGAAACGGGTTCATAAATGGTTGGTAGTTCAGGTCCTTAACTAGTTTCCTACAGGTCCTTACAGAGCTGCACTGACAAGCCCTGAGAGTCCATGGCAGGCAGGTACCCCCAAACATTGCTGCTGTGGCCACTGAAATGGGGACGCCTACACAAAAATGGAAGATATATAATACTTTATTTTAAATCAAAATAATTTTAACAAAATCCTAAACCCAGGATGTGTTGAACAGATTAACACTCCACAGCTCTGCCTTACCGTAAGCAACCAGAAGTGTTCTTGAAGACAGTTGTCCACTCAGCATCACGAGGCTTCGAGTCCTCATTGGGCTCACTCTCCCAGCCGGAATGGGGGATGATCACCTCGTTGGTGAGCGTCTGCAGACCGTGGTTGATGATCACCATCTTCAGGGGCTCGTAGGAGGACAAGTTCCACAGAGTGCCTGCAGGAGAAGCAGGAATTACTAAACAACAAGAGAATAATAATTTTTAAATATCTCGATTAAACAGAATCACCAGATTCACAGAGAATCACCAGAAGGTTAAATCTTCTGGCACCGCAACAGAAGAATTCCCAAGAGCACGGAAGCACTTTTATCAAGACATGCATATTGTTGAAGTCATCAAGTCCTACAACAGAGTACATAAACGTGATGTGCTATTGCAGATTAATACGATTTTTCTGCTACATACAGATTTTGTCACACTTTTAAGTCTAGCTATGCCTCAAAAGGTAAAAATTCATCCAGTGCAGCAGACAAGTATATTGAGCAAGCCTTAAAAACAGGGATGAATTTATGGAGGACTATTGATCTTACGCTTATCCTCTGCACAAACAGCATTTCATTCAAGAGTCCTCTCTATTATTTACTTTCACATTTTCCTGTCACAGGCAGTATCTGTATTCAGATCACCTGGTGCTACAAGCGTACGATCCTCGAAGAAGCTGAGATGCAAAACTCCTTTGTCTTTCCATTTTTACCTCAATTATGAGCCAAAGTAGGCAGAAGTCAGACATCAAAAAAAAACAACAGAAGAGCCTTACAACTGGAAAAACACGCAGTCCTAGATAAATGATCCAAGTTCCCAGCAGACCCGTGTTAGCATCCTGACAGTTACTGCTCATTAGATTAATTAGGACTAAAACAGGACATTCACTTCAGAGATGGTTTCTGCACAGGCCCAGCCTGGTAACACGTCAGAACTACGAGTAACAACACTGGGAGGGAGCCAGATGCACACTTTCTATCTCCAGGAAAAGTGTGAAAATTCTCAAAATTTCAGAGAAGGAATGGAGAAGCCAGATTCCCCAGAAGGCACAGGAAATCTGTCTTAAGTGGATACGAAATAAATGTGAGGCCCCTGTGTTACTAACAGCTGTGATTTGTGAATATTGCGGTGGAAACTGTAGATACTCACCTCTCGGTGTACACATCTAAAGAAAACTGCAGAAGAACAAGGTGCAACCTTTTGTTTCAGTCCCTTTCAATCACTCTGAGTTTTAAACCCCACAGTTTCCAAAGTTTAAAAACTATGAAAAATGATTTTTGATCTGTTACTTTTCTGTCACACCCAGAGGGACCTGCTGGATGCTGTTGGTGGGAACAGGAGACGTGCCACAGGGAGGGAGCCTGCAGCACCCCAAGGTGCCAGGACCCTGGGGCCACCATGCAGGATCCACGGTGGCCATCGCCTGGCAACTCTCCTGCACGCTCCGGCTGTCACTGCTGCGAGTGCCAAATGCCAAACAGCCTATTTTAACCCCAGAGCTTTCCCCATATAGGGTCCTGACAGGTTCTGGGGGAGGACGGGAGCCGTGTCTCCGCCGGAGCAGCGAGTGGCACTTCAGGATCAGCTCGAAGGCTGATGATTAGCAGAGCCCTGGGAGTCAAACGCGATGGTGTCTCCTATTCCAAGTGATCTTTACAAAATCCAGGCATCTGTTCAGACTTAGGAGACCGTATTAATGAATAAAGAACCTCTGAGGCAGACAACAGAATGAGCACCAGAATGTTTTTCAGCCTTTTTCTAAAACCATACAAAAATAATGCTTTTTTTTGGCCTATTTCCTTTGCCATTCCTAGACAACACACTGTATGAGCTTTTCATAACCTACTTTTTTTAGCTTTCAAACAAGACCGTATAGGTGAAATATGGGACAATGGCTACAAATTATTTCAAAAGCACTGATTATTGTAAAAAAATACATTAAAATTACTATAAGCTATAAACATAGCTATATGATTTATGTAATATCAAAAGTGATTAGGTCCACAGACATGATTTCCTATATCTCTGCCTCCTTGGAGCTGCAGAAAGATCTCTAATGAAATTGTGGCAGAATACATACATGCTGTTATCTTCTGAAATCCAAGTCTGATCAGCTGGCAGGATCTCAGCACCCATAAATGCCCTGAAGGTGCGAATCCTGAGCAAGTTGATCAATCTGCCAGTTTCTACTACGGTATTAGAGCAAAATATTTCCTCTGTAAAGCATTTTGAAGGTCAATCATTTTTCAATTAAAACCAGGAAAATCATGTTCTGCACCACTTAAAATCAGTGCAATGTCGTTAAACAACAAAATTACTTTCAATATTCTCATGAAGAACAAAATTATTCATTAGAGCTACCAACTTGATTGCTTTTCAAAGAATGTAATAGAATTTTGGTCTTGCATATCTGATGGGAACATTTCCTCTGCAAAAAAAAAAAAAAAAACAAACCACAAAACAACGCCCTTATCACTCAAGATAAAACTTCTGCAGTCTTCCCAAACAGAACAGATTTAATTCCCCATCAGCTTAATCCTAATTTCTCTCTATTGCTCAAGAAAATGATCCACTGCAAGTTCAGCAGTAGAGATCCAAGACTAGAAAGGGATGCAAGGGAGAATTTTGTGGAATATTTCTCATCACAACTCATTATTTACTTAGGGGCACCCTATCAGTTAAATCAAGCTTTTCCCAGTGCAGTAGGGTGGGAGATGCTTTGTAACTCCACACATCAAAAAGAAAGAAAAGTGAGATCTGTGGTATGTTCTAGTGCCATCTGCAGATATCTCAAGAACATCTGATAAAACAAAGATCCCACATCTCAGATGACCAGCTGATGATCACTATTCAGCTTTCGAGAAGCAGCCAGTATTGAGTTAAAGAAATATGAAAGCACAGAAAAGTCAATGTGTCATGGCAAACTTGAATTCGCACCCTGTTAGAAGAAATAAACAAGCAAGCCCTGGATGCTAGTGTCTTTTCTTCCTCCCCCCCACTTGCATTGCTGCAAGAGCCTCCAGAGATTTCACTCCAGACAGAATGAAAAACTTTCACAGCAAAGGCAGACTTTGGTTCATCACTAGGGAGAAGTTCCCAGATAGGAAGTCAAGATTTCTACCACGAGAACATCAGAATTGCAATCTGAATTTTTGAGGCTGCAAAACGCAGTCCTTTTGGGGCAGCCTTGGCTGAATGCTCCCGCTGCACTTCAACTTGGCTCTGGCTTCTCTTCGCCGACTCCTGGAGCTCATTTTTGGAATGGACAATTCCACATTATCAGCCGAGGCTTTGAACGCTTCCTGCGAGTTCCCCAGCACCAGGCACAGAGGCATTGCTGGAATACTCTTCTCCTCTGTATATCGATGCTTGAATGTCTCACACCAGATCCGGTGATATCACTTTAGAAGTGGAATGAAATTATTCCTGGTTAGGTGGAGATTAAATGCACATCATCTGTCGCTGGACATCTGTTTAGGTTAATGCCCTCGGTATTCCTGGTGCCTCTCAGTAAGGGGAAATAAAGAGCTTTAAATAGCAAAACCCAAAGTGGAATAAAAATACTACATTTAATTAGAAGGAGCTAATGTCAGATAAAAATGCATTTGAACTGTAAAACTAATTAATCAACTGGAAATCAAAGCAATCGCCATTTAGAGTGAAAAGGGAAAACATCCAGTTTGTTTTTGCCATCTCAAAAGTGACTGATTACCACTTAGCAATATAATGACATTCCTTCAGAGTAAATTATAGACTGACTTATCCTTTCTTGAATCTAAAGAACTAAATTCATTCCTTCTCAGCACTCCAGAGATGGGTTTTGAGTAAACTAGAACAGTAGATAAACAGATAGTCTTTATTAAAAATAAATAAATAAATTTAAGTCTGCTATCACACTAAATGAGTGCAACAATTGGAACATAAACACTACCTACAGAGTTTCCACATTAAGAGACAAAGCCCAGACAGCAATCAAAGCACAACCAACACGAGCTGCTCCCACAGAACAGAGCGCTCTCCTTTCCCAGCTCGCTGGAAAAACACCCCTGCTAGTTCCTACACTGTATATTTAGACCTGGTTTGTTAGATATCCTGTAACGGCTGGGGAAGAATAGTTGGAACAGCCAAGGCCACTGCTCATCTCAGAGATTTATGATTACCAGTAAAAACTTGGAGAGCTGCGATCATTCTATAATCACCTCAAAAAAACGATGATGTTTACTTCCAATCACTTAATCCATGCTTGCAATAGGGTCTGCCTGGAGAATCCAACCCCGATAAGGAGACCAAACACTTTCAGCCCTGCACCCGTTCTTGCACTCAGAAAACCTTATGAAAAATTCTGTTCTGGCACCGAAATTCACTGCAACTGCCCTGGTCTCCATCCAGACATCCCCTGCTGCTTCTGAGAAGGGAAAGGGAAATCCATTTCACTCCTCAGGAGTTATGGCAGGCTGAAGAACAATATATTTCTCCTTAGCTTAAGAGCTGACATACTTTTCCACCCTTTTCCACTTAATGGCTGAACTTTGAAACTTGGCATATACTTTATTACTCATTTTGGACGATGTCCAAGACTAAGTTCAAATAAAAACCAGGTTGAATAATGGAGTTATAAGTGATTGAAAACTCCCTGCAAAGTGTGCATGAACTCAGTAACTTCAAAATGTAATCCTCCCTTTTCCCATTACCACAACAAGCAAGGCCCATGTCCAGAGCATCTCAACAGCAGACTCTGTGCTCCTTAAAATCGGAGTTTTCCAGCCCAGAACTGTTGCAACTTTATAAACAGCCTCAGAGTCCCCAGCACCGGGGGCGGGAAGTGTTCCTGAGGAGCCTGACTGTTCCATCAATATGAAGTAGCAGGGACATGGCAGCAGGATTGTTTAGTAAGAGATTAACAAGGAAAGTTTTAGATTAGCATATCTTACCTCACGATAACAACACGCTGAGGGCAAGCACAGTACAAGTTACCTGTCAATGAAGTTGCTATAACTCATTTAAGCTCCAGTAACTCAACCACACACAGTCGCATGCGACATCCAAGCAGCATCATCCATCTCCCAGCAGCCAGGGAAAGCCGAGTGTGCTACAGACACAGATGATCTCAATTTTCTCCTGACGGGCACATTTGCCTTAGGCCTTCTCACACCACGAACACGGTGCAGCTAAAGACACAGCTGCAGCCAGCAATCTAAATTCTCCTTCAGCGATCTAAATCTCCAGAAATTCTTGCTCCTGAAGCTGGAAGGACTCCTCCTAAAGAATAAGCCATCAAAGAAACTACAGACACTGACCTGTAATTAGCTCTCTGACTTCCATGTCGTTTGTTTTTCTCAACAGCCTGATCAACGCTGGGATCCCATCACAGTTCTTTATAGCCACCTTGTTTTCGTTATCCTTCCCGTAGGAGATGTTTCTGAGAGCCCCGCAGGCTTTGCGATGGACCTCTGGCTTTGGATGATCAAGCAGACCCACCAGGATGGGTATCCCTTTAAGGTGCCTCACGTCCTTTTTGATTTTATCATTCTCGTAGCACAAGTGCTGCAGGTAGGCCGCGGCGTTGGACTTGACCGGGTCGATGGGGTGGCTGAGCATGGCAATGACTTCGGGGAGGTCGGGGTCCCTCCACCTGGGGTCCTTACGGATGCTGTCAATGGAGGGGGAGCGCTTGCCCAGCCGGTCGATGCTGGCCATGCTCCCTCGCTCCGGCTGGGCCAGCGGCGCCGCGTAGCCACCGTGAAGGTAAGGTATCCTCTCTTCAACCATCTCTGTCTCGATGGGGTCATCGTAGCCCCTGTAAGAAGCAACAGTCCCAAGAGAAAGAAAGGGAAAAAACAAAACAAAAACCACATTTAAACACTCTGTGCCTCTTGAGTCAGTATGTGAGCAAATCTTTTAATATCACAAACTTCATTAGGGACAGCGTATTTACACTTTCAAATAATTTATTTGTAGTAACTTGAAAATTAACCATGAGTTGAGTACTTGGCAGTGCTGGGACTACAGCTCAGTATTTGCTTGGCCAGCAATGAAACGATGACACGAACTGCAAGTATCAAACGGATTGCTTTCATTTTGGTCACTTGGCAAAACAATTACGGTAGAGCTGGGCTACATTTAGCACAAAACACTGAGCTTCATTAATGCTGCTATTTCTGTGACAAACCAGAACTTTAATAAAAGGCATTCGAGGTCTGAGCAGAGACCACAGACGCTTTTCAACAAGTGTGAGAAGTTCCATTACATTTCCACGTTGATGCTCACACAAATATACTGAACTTGTCAATATGCATCACAACGTCAAAGATGAAGGAAAATTTAAGTCCTGAATCCAAGCATCTAATAAAAGTCTATCCTGTACAGAATCACTCGGAACACAGGTAAGAGGCTGACGGTCAAGAGACCTGGGTCCAACTTTAACACCAATGTAATCTGAACATCCAAAGCAAGCCCTCTGAGCTCTCCTCCCCAGACCAGCAACTAACCTGATGTCAGGCACTCTTAAGACCATTTACAGCACTGGAATGAATGGGACCCATCTTCTTGTGCTACAATTTGCTGAGTGTAACTGAAGTAAGGTCAGTGACAACCAGCTAACACGCACACCTAGATATTCCTGGCCTAGTTCACACAAAGGGCAAAGTTACAATCAACACAACTGAAAATATTCTCACACAGTACATTCTCACACTACAAATGCCCATATTCTTTAAAAATTAAAAAAATAATCAGTATTTGAAAAATATTTCTTAACAGCCACAGCAGCGATGATGATCTCCAACCTTCAGAAAGAACCCCCTACCAACACTGCCTCCAGCCAGCTGCTATCTCACTGCTGTTGTTGTCTCAATCAAGCAACTAGTTTTAATTGCTACAAAATGATTCTTAAAAACTTTCATTTCAAGCACTGACTGATGTTAGTGAACAATTTCTGATGTCATGCTGAAGGAAGTATAGACCATTAGAACTCCGAAAGAGCACGGAGCTGGCTGTTACCCTAAGGGGATTGCTAATTAAGCCAGGCTCCGGGGAGAGGGGCACTGGAGGTGGAGACTGAACTTAGTCTTGTACAATTAATGCTTTTAATGTTAAAAGCACCTCTACTGACTTTAAGTTGCTTTAATTGCTGTTCTAAACCATAAACTGAATGAAAGGACAAAAATGGGCCAGGATCCAAAACTCAGAATGAATCTGAAGAAACCCTTTTATCGAAGCAGTTATTTGTGTGTGTATAATTCAGTGCTCACTCTCCGCAGTAACTCACAATGCCTGGACAGCCCTTGTATCTTCTGTTACAGAACAAAGCTGTTTCCATCACTCCAAGAAGAAAGTAACAACATTGAAAAAATTTACTTTTGTGCATATACACAGGGCAGCAGTAATGACAAAACTCCTTAACTACTCTTCAAACAAAATTCTGGTTTTACATATGCAAATTTGGGACAACCGGCATTAAAACAACAACAAAAACTCATTTCTCAGACATCCTCATGTTAAATTCTAATTGAATGCATAAAAGAAGAGTAGCAGAAGATGGATTTTAATCATTGCCCTCTGCACAGCTGCTGCCTGACTGGGTAACTGGCAATTCAGCACGTCCTGGTTCATGCAATACCATCATGACAAGAGTGAGCACCCCATAACTCTGGTACCACCAATACTAACTTTTGCTTAATTGTCAATCATTAGCTATTAATTATGAACACCTGAAGTAAAGAATCAGCCATTAAAAAAGAAACACCATCACATCCCAACTTACTACTTATTCTAACAAAGTTTTTTTTTTAAAAAAGGGGGTTTTTTTCCCTGCCCAGGTCAAGCCCTGTCTCCCCTCCTTGAACAGGGGTTGGGGCCCAGAGAGGTGCAGAGTAGGCAACAGGTGAAGAACTCAAAAGCAAGTATGTACGTATGTAGACACACACACAAAATCCTCATTCTGGGAGGGACTGACAGGGGCCAACTGTGATTTTCCACTTTCACAGCAGCAGAGCACGTTGGAAAGGCAGGTCCCTGGACACCGGAGGAGGACTAACGAGAGCTTCAGCAGATACAGCCGTCTGTGCTCAGGAGGCCAAGAGCTCCTTTCTCCAGGGACAGAAGGGACCTGGTGGTGTGCCAGAGCCGCCGACTGCAAGCATCTTGTCTCCCATCTGTCTGCAGCGAGGCTGCCGAGCGCTCGGGATGCCGTGGGTCTCACCAATCACCTGTCTCAGGGAACTCATCAAAACACATTCCAGCATAGATAAAAACTGGGAGAGAGCTTGTGGATTTATCATCTTCCTTGTGGCCTCGGCACAGGCGCATTTGAATAAACAGGTGAAGGATTTACACGTTTAATCCTCAACAATTTATACAAGTGTTACATTCATCACAGTTTGCAGCTGGCGTCTGCTTGGGAAAAAAGACCAGAAAGGCTTGGGATTTCAGGAGGGAACTTCGTGCCAAACACTGGAGAGGAACCCTAAAGACTCTGCAGAATGAGGTCTTTTGCCAGCCCCTGTTCCCTGACAGCAGAACACACGAGAGGATCCAAAACTGAACGAGACACCAGCCCCTGTTCCCTGACAGCAGAACACACAAGAGGATCCAAAACTGGACTGAACGAGACGAGTCCGAGTTATGGGCCATATGGTTAAAAGACAGAAACCACCTGGGTGAGAACCACCTTTAAGCTGCTAATGGATGAGCCGACACGTGTTTCACACCTGAAATGGGTGAGGTTAGGCCAGGAGCCCTGACTGGAAGGTCATCTAGAGATATAAGCCTTTATATTCTACGTTGAAAAAAGACACCAAAAGCAGAACATGAATAACCCACATGTGATAGCAATGTTCTCGCACCAACTACACGAAACAGAAGCAAGAGAGACCCAGCTGCAGACACTTAATCTAAAATCTGGTTCATTTCCTGGTAATAATAATTTGGACCATGAAACGATCACCAAATGCAGTCTCAGTGTCTTAGATCAGGCTTCTGCCATAGTCAGATTTAGTCAACATTAGTCAACATTAAAAATTCATGTCCTGTCTAGTCTGGAATAGTAGCACTGGCAAGGGCTGCTCCTGAGTTTCTAGGGGTAAAGAAGGTAGCACACGAGCAAACTGCAGTGATCCACTCTGGAGAGAAATTACCACAAAAGTGAGAGACAAGAAGTTCAACAGAAAATAATTTTTAAAATTAAGATGAATTATGACTTGCCTTTTTTTCTGCTCTTTTGTGTTAACTTCTATTTAATGATTTAAAAAATAATCAAATAATATTAGGGATGTTTTTTTTATGAATGAAAACACCCAGTACTTTCTGTTTCTCTTTTGAAAAGGACTGTATATAAAACACCTAGCAACACCCTAAGAGTATATATTTTTATAGACACCTCATTGAATAAAGGCAACTTACCAAATGAAGGAAAAAAGAGCATAAAGCCAAACAAAGATGTGTAAATACCTTCACAAGTAAATTTGAGTAGTACTAAATCCGTATTATACGCCCTGAATGCCTTTCTCTCACCCCAATTTATCATGCAATCAGACTTACACCAGAGCAGAGCACACGCTGAGGAACAGAACACGAAGTGCCAGGTATTCTTCTTGCAGAAAATAATGTATCTTACAGCAGAGAATGAGCGTAAAAGGAAACAAAACCCAAACGCAGCCACAAGCACTGAAGAGCCAGAGGGAATTATTTGCCTTTGTGTACTTATCTGGATTTGTAGACATTTGTGAGGAGGCACATTTTTCCCCAATTTAAGATGAAATATAAGTAGCTTAAAAGGAGGCTGGCGATGGCAGGAGGAGAGCACAACAGGTATCCATCTCTGTGATCAAACCGAGGGGGCAAGGGATGGAAAGAACAACCTGTAATTGTCCTCCCCTGACGAGGATCCCCCCCAGACACGGCTGGTTCCCCCTCATCACGGAGGGGTGAGATTCCACCACAGATTCAGATGGGAAACCTCCACTCAGTCCTTTCAGACAGAACAGCATCAAGACTAGTTATGGACAGTGAGCATCCTTGTTATTAACAAACGAGGGCAGCACTTACTGGGAAGAAAATGGGAGTGTAAGTGAAGTTGCCCAGCGAGTTAGCCAGCAGAAGAATGCCCTTCACCACACCAAGAGGATGGCCAAGATGAAAGTTGGTTTGATACAAAAAAGGCTCTAACAGCGTTGTTGTAACACCTACTCCACACATACAAACTTTTTGAAATCAAAAGTGCCATCCATTTATCACAGTCATTTAATCATTCTCACAAGGAATAACCGATTTAAAAAAAAACAAAAAAAACCAACCAGAAACTAGAGAGGAATAATCAAGTAGTAATTACCCTCATCTAGTACAAAGCGCTATTTGCCGTCTTTAGTTCCTTGCAAATGGGTGGCGTATCTGAAATGCAGGTTTATTGAATTGCTCAAGTATTTCTTTGAAATGTCAAAAAGTAACTACTTATGAAGAGGCCCTCATACAATCTTCTTATGTTCTCACCAGCTAAAGTTTGCTGCCACAGTCAGGCTAATTACTTGTCAAAGTCTCTTGATCATATTAAACATGGAAAAAACTCAAAACAAAAGAAATGTAAAACAAAATTCGTGAATTGGTCCTACCCAAACTCCAAGGAACAATAAATCAAAGGGATGTTAGAAATAAAACAAACAACTTTAAAAATGCAAATGGGCAGATTCTAAGAACACACTTAATTATTCATCATGCATTCAGTTTGAAAAACATTAATAAAAATTTTAAAGCACTGCTGCTGCCTGACTGTTCTTAACAAGAACTCTAAACGTGCTTGGATGCAGGGGAGCACCAATCAATGTCTGAGGGATTGATCAGTGTTTTGGCACCCACAGGCTGCAGGTATTCCCTTTTTGATACTTCTTTTTTTTTTTTTAAATATAGATGACAATTTCCAGGTGCTTGATTCCATTTAACTTTAAAACAAACTTCCAGAAACGTAGAGAAAGACAGAGATGTGAAAGTATGAATGAAACCCGGGGTGACACAAGTAGGAGTGCTCCAAAAGGGGAGAGCAAAAAGGTCTACCCAGATCCCACCGACCGCGACTGCTGGTGGAGCCAAGCCTCCGGGCAGAAGCATTAGGTCTATAGACCACCTACACACACAGAGGCAGGTGGGCTCCAGACTCTCTTTGCAGCTCTGGAAACTACTCTAAATTAAAAGGAAAATAACGAGAACTAAATCCCTATTAAGATGTGAATCGAGAGGATATGACTTCATGCAGACAGAAGTTTGTACACCGCTTGGAAAACAAAGTACACAGGTTTTTCAGGTTCATACTCAGAAGACGACTGTCAGCTGAGTAATAAGACTCTCTTCCCAGCTTTTTATTTTTTTCTCCAAAAGCAGGAGCTAATAGCTGCAAGCCCAGCAGAAACAACTAATATCAGAAAATATGGCATAAAACATAACATCCCTTGGAAAGGGGACTGAACCAGAAGTAATTTGTGACTGGCCACTTTAGTTACATTAAGTGTAATACAGATGCTCTTATCTCCCCTTTATGCAGGCACAGGACAGAATAATGATCAGTTCTCACAACACGTTGAAGCACTTCAGTGGGGTTCAGCAGCTGAGGGTGTGTGGTCAGCACAAGAGCAGCAGCTGGGGCTGTCAAACACCTTGGAGAACAGCTTCCAAGGACAAGGCAGCCTGTCCCCAACCACCATCAGCTCCTCACAGCCCCACTGCCATGGTTTGTGTGGGGCAGATGCACACAACCAGAGCTGACAGAAGCCACAGGCTACAAACCCCTTTTTACACCTTGCTAATATGGGATGGCTCTAGGACAACACACCACAAAGCCATCAAAACTCTTCTTTATGAGGAGGAAAATAAGTAATTTAACCCTCTTCTATGAGATCCTCTCTTTCTAAACTCAACCTAAACTAAGCAGCCCAGAAACACAGCGAAGGGTTCTTGGACACTACCCTCACTCCCTTCTGTACTTCACGTGCGTTTTGCAGTTATTTATAGGCTAATAAAATTCAGGGTTCTACCTGTTTTTCCGTCAAGTAATTCCAGAACTTACCAGACTATTAAGAGTTCAAACGTACACCTTCAGCTAAGCCAACCAGCTACACGTAACATCAGAAAAGAACAAATGGGTTTTACCTTCCTTTGTGAGGTCTTCCTCTCTCTGGCACACCCGCAGATGTCCTCCGGTTCACAGTGGAGTAATCGGGATCCAGTTCGTACCCTTCATCATCTACTCCAAGGCTGCGGTTATCATCTTCCAGTCCGTAGGGCTCCGGCTGGAAACGTTCCGGCTGGGAGCGGTTCAGGTCGACGCTGCTGCCCACTGGCACCTGAGGCTGGGCAACGGGCCCGTAGTTATCCCTTCTGCTGGGCAAGGTGAAGCTGCCATCGTCCGGCCGGTAGCTGTTTCCTGGCACGTAGGCGTAGCGAGGACGGTAGTTGACACCACGAGACAAGCTGCCGTAGTTATCAGACAGATCTCCATAGCCATCGTGACCCACGTACGGGCGATACTGGCCCTCGTGGCTTTCAGGGTAGGAGTCGTTGTAGCTGTTGTAAGATCTGGTTAAGGTGGACGATGCCTGTGGTGTGATGTACCGCTCCCCGTTCTTCATGTACCTTCTGTCTATCGAATCCGTGTAGCTGCCCATGGGGGACGAGCCGTCCATGGAGGGCAGGCCATCGGGCCCAAGGGGCACCTGACGCACCGTTCTGGTGGTCACCGTTTTGACCATTTTGGTAACCTGTGAGGACAGCGAATAGATACGTTAATTTTCTCCTTGCTGCACAATGGGACAAGGCATACAGGGAGCTAGAACAATAAAGGGGGAGAGAGCATCACAAAGCATAATACTGCAGTGACGTGCCTTTGAGTGGAGGCACCGGTGTGCTCGTTAGGTTTAGGATTTAACAGTGGGAAAATATTTCTATGGAAAGCTGAAAAGACAGGTCAGAGCCAAAGTGAAGTGCATTCTGGGGCTCCTACTACCAAATCAAAACCAGTGCAGCCCTATGGCAGCGTGTGGAAGCAGTGCAAAGTCAGCACACCCGCTCCAATTTGCCCATAAAGTTTTCAGGAGGCATCATTCCTAGAGCAGACTTCACAATGTTGAGGAGCCAGAGCCTGGCCCCACAAAATAAGGATAAATATCCCATCACATTCTCTAGTTTGACAGAAATACAGTTACACGTGTCTGCCTGATCTGGACCAAGTTTGTACCCATGTAACTTGATGGAGCTCAGATTTGGCAGTGATATTTAAGAAATCATGATGTCAAACAGAAAAGTTTCAGGCTTCTAGCTTTTAGACAGCACAACCACTTTCTCTTCTAAGATATCCTTATAACCATCCTCATACAAGCCCAACAGGTTGTGTCACTGCATTATTTTAGTGACTAACAAATTTGCAATAATGAATAGAGTAACTCCACGCAGCTTTTGCAACCACAATTACCCTAAACATACTGGGTGAGGCAAGCTTGTTTAAAACATTACAGAAAAATCTGCACACAAATAGATCTTTGTCTTTCCTTCCAATAAATCACATTTCATTTCGACATACATAGAATTAGACTATTGCATATAACTGACAAAAACTGGAAAACTGGAAACGCTGAGTGTCCAGAGGGCTCTTGTGTCCAGGGTTTCTTGCTAAAGGGTAAGAACAAAGACTCCTCAAGAGTTCCCAAGAACGTTTTGCCTTCATGGGAAAGGCCTGGCAATCTGTGTAAGACAGTGCCGGACAAAAGCCACTACTATTACAAACCAGCAAAGGAACTTCTGTTTGTGTTGGTATCTGGTGTCCATCAGCTTCTGTACTGTCTTCCAGAGTGATCAGCAAAAGCTGTTTTGGGGAGAATATGAAGTCCAGCAGAAGCCAACCTACTCTCGGCTACCCTAACCCTTATAAAGCCACTTAACCTACAAAAGTTACCCTAACCCTAGCAAATGCTGCCTTTTAGCCAAACAACAAAACAAGACACCTACAAAGGTGAGCAGGAGAATCAACCCCCCTGAGAGCGCTACACACAGGGACACACACACACAAAATTATCAGAACTTTTGGGTTCCTAAAGTATTACAGAAGTAAATAAGCATCAGTAAATGACACTTTTCATATAAGCCACGGAATGAAACATGTACATCAAGAGAAACAGTAACTATAACATGTATTTCTGGATCCTTCAGTGGCTCTAGAGTCCAAATGGATATTTTGACCTATAACCTCTGATTTAAACATTTAGATTTGCACCAGATTAGCCAAGCTCCTGCTAAAACAAAATAATTAGAGTACATCTCTTGAAGCGGCTCCAGACATGTCCTGTAGCCAGATGTTTCCACACAGAAACCCCAAATAGAAAAAAAAATTCACCCAAACAGCATTTCTTTTCCTAGAGACATCTGTGAGCAGATGATACTTCAGCCTAATGAAGTAATGAAATCCTGCAAGACTGAAAGCAGCACAAACAGCTCTCCACCAACAGCGCAATTAAACAGCATCACGATGATGCTGAATAAAGCACAGCCAGGTACCAACACGACCTCAGGATCTCGTTTGGGCCAGAGCTGGAAATTCTCCTCAGCAATCCAAAGGGATTCTCCTTAGCAAGTGAATGTGCTTCCGTGCCTCCAAATATTTTCTCTCTTTTTTTAAAAGCACACATTTTAATAACTAAAGGAAACTAGAAACTAAACATTCGTTTCATGACATAGATTCCTACAGCTGTTTCTGCTTATGACCTGTGCACAATACTTGTACTTTTCAGCCCATTCTCAACACGACTACAGCCAGGGCAGTCACAGACCGGGGCAGTGTGTCCCGAGGAGAAGAGGAGCCGGGGTGGCTGGGAGCCCCTCTTTGTAAAGGGGGTACACACAGGCAACACAGCCCCAATTCCCCTGCTGAGGCCTGGAACAGACCTTTTATTCAAAGTAATGTTCATAAGTGATCTTCTACGAGCAGAAAAAGCATCATTTCTCAGGCCTGAAACATGTGAGTTTTGCAAAGCAATGGCAAAACTGGGTGCAAAGTGCTTGGGTTCGGGAATGTGGGAACCAGTACAGGGAACAGCAGGAAGGAAAGTGGAGTTTCAGCAATTTGATGAATCAGAAAGTGATACTTTTGCCCAGGAAGGAACAAAGAGGCAGCTTTCTGGGTGCCAAGAAGAGCACTCACATCACCTCACAAAGCCCTTTATTGCAGCACTATTCACCAGGAGCCAGATATTTTAAATCTAACTCCGAGCTTTGCTTTTCAAGACCCACGTTGCCAGGCACGCACGGTTTGTCATGTGTGGTGCTTCATAAAGTTGTCAAGATCAGACAGTGCAAGATCCCTAATAAACCCTGTCTGGCTGCAGAACAGCACGGAAGGAGGAACAAGCTTTAACCTGCAGGATCCTCAGACAAGGGCTTTGCAGGGAGGCACTGCTGCTCTCAGTCCTCCCACATTCCTACCTCGGGGCTCTTCCTCATTTCTGAGGGTTTAGAGGTTTTTGGAGAATCACTGTTATTGTCAAACAGGAGGATGGAACACAACACACGAGTGTTATGGCAAGGACAACTGTGTACAATACTCACACAGAAAAGACAAAGCAGAGTTTTAGAACCCTTCAAAAAATCGATTCTTAGATAATTTGTGACTTACCAGTTACATTAATGAGATTTCCACTGTGCTCTGGTACTCTACAGAGTATTTACAGAGATTTTTAAATTTTTTTTTAATATGACCAACACAGAACGCAGGAGATTAATTTGCAATTTTTTCCCAATTTGCCTTATATTCTGTCTTTGAGAATAGCACAGACAAGTTACCAAAGGCTGTGGCTAGTCAGAGAGACACCCTGAGTGTCAGCCAGCACACATAACAGCAAGTTTACACTGTCAGCACATCTTCACCTCTATCATTTTCCAAACGCTGCCCCCATTCACGCGTGGAAAGAATCAGGACAATCAAAACCCCCTTGTCAGACGCATAAAAAGGAACATTTCACCCAAGCATTAAAGTACACATTTCTCACAGCATAAAAGCATCCAATAATGCGAAAGGTGTTATGGTGAGGGAATCAAACCGAGCCTTTTTTTTATTTTGAGAGAGGGAGTATTTGCACTCATGCCTCATTTGTCAGGGGCAGGCACTGGGAGAGAAGATTTATCATGTGATAAACAGACTTTGCTGCCTACAGGACAATAAAGGGAAGCTTTTTGGAAGCAATTAGCCAGCAACAGAGGAAAGTCTATTTATTAGGTTTCCAAGCCAAAAAACCCCAACCCAACAAACCAAACAATCTTTATTTCAGGAAATCCAGCTCAAGGGAATGTTTCATTTATATTCCTTAAAAGAACACAGGCAGCCTTGAGCAGCTGACAGCACAGTAATCTTCTCCCCCAACATTTTTGTGGTTTCTTTAATACTGATGCATTAGCCTGGGAGAAGGAAGCTATTCCGAGCAGGAGTCCTAGCAGACCCTTATCTGAGCCACCTGATCCTCCAGATGCACCCAATCTCGAGATGGATTTCTTAGCATCAACTCCTCACTACAGGATATGCTCTAATGAAAAACGCAGAGATAGAAGTTACTTTGAGAAAGTGTAATTTGACTTCCTGTTTGCTTTCCATCTCTAAAGAAAAACCTGTGTAAAGAGGTTTTTTAGCCTGATCACAAATCAAAGGTGTTTAATTGTTTCAATGCCACAGAGTACCAGACGAAAGCTTCAGTCTACTTCCCTATGAAGAGGTTATCTGAGTGTGCTTAAAATATACTTGCAATTCTTTATTCCCTTTAAACTATATTAAGGTTTCAACCACAGTAGAAAAAGTTCCAATTTACCAACTTTTTCAGGCCCTCTGCAACCAAAACCCCACGAGATCGCGAGTTGGTACTTTCATTGCTGTTCCTCCCAACTAGATTTCAGTTTTACTGACCTTACCACTGTTCTCCCCCCAGATAGCAATTATTTTGTTAAATAATTCCCCCACAGGCCTCACTACGATGTTTTCACCAGCTCTGTTCCTGAAAATACATTTGTGAACAGAACGCAAAGGAAATATTCCCACATTTGAAGCAGCTTCTGTATTTTTCTGTCCCTCCTCCTCCTATTTGCCCTGAAGGACGGGAGAACAAACGTGAAAATATCCAACGACTGGACTTACTGGAGGCACATGCAGATGGTACAGACAGATCCTCAGAGTGCACAGTACCGAGAGGGGGACAGACAGTCCTGAGATTTCAGTTCAAGTTCATCATGGTCAAATGCAGTACCTATAATTTTGCCTTCCATTTTGTTATTGAGGTTGAGTTTGTTTTGCCTTTTTTTTTTAATAAATTAAGTACGTGATAAAAGCTGATAGCTTCAAAAAAATGTTTAGCCCTATGTCATAAACCACAAAACAGATGAGAAGAAATACATGAGGATAAAAGCATTCTGACATTTCTGAGAGCCTACTTTTGAACTACGGACTGTAAAAATTAATCAGCCCAAGCAGGCTGAAGCTATTACCTCTCTATTAAACGCTGTGTAAGAACTCGCCCCGTAGGTTTTCAAAACAACAGCTCAAATTTCTCCCCTTCAATTTTAACCTTAATGTTTCACATTTTCTAAAGGGCCTTCGACTTTGGCTGAGAGCCATTCCTGCTGCTTTACCTAACTCCTTTCAATTTTCGGCAAAGTTTTGAGGAACAGCATCTCGGGGTACCTGGCACCACCCCAACCCAGGAGCCCCAGTCCCAAGCTCTCCCCAGGGCTGGTGGAGCAGCAGCTCAATCCTGTTGGGAAAGGGTTGGTCTTGCTGAGGATTAGACAGCACAAGGCAAAGGGATGGGCTGGAAGGGAAACAACTCTGTCTACAGGCTGGTTTCACGGTTTGTTATCATAAACCGTCACTTTCAATGAATGAAAGTGACCTAAATCTCTCCGATCTTTTAGCATTTCAAAGATAAAAATAAAAGGTGCCTGAAGAAAGGGAAAAGCAAACATTAACACAAGAGCACACACATCTCATTTGCTTTATGGGGTTCTCCCCAGCCCCTCACGATGGGTCCCGTCAGGAGCCGGCTGGTGAGAACCGGCAGCCTCTCCCCAAGGTGACTTTCACTGTTCCCCCAGGACAGGTATTCAGCTTCCAGAGAGATTATAAAGTTGAAATGAAGTATTATCTGCTACATCTTCTGTGCGCTGAATGTTATGCAGGGACTTAGTACAGCACTAAGAGAATAACAGTTTGGGGAAAATTACTCTCATTTTGAAAAGGCAGATGTTCTGACTAAGAGAATAACAGTTTGGGGAAAATTACCCAGAAATATCTCATTTTCAAAAGGCAGATGTTCTCTATTTAAAATATGTCAAATATTAGATTCTATTATGCCTTCTTTCTGCTTCCCTGTTACAGGCATCTTCAAAGATGTGGGGAAAAGCACAGCAAAAATTGTCAATGCTTCTGGATTAAGGTTGTTTACTTAATACACTATGGAAGAGAATAACCTCTATAAATTACGGTTTTGAAACAAAAGGGGGAATAAAGGAACAGCAGCACACAGGAGCATTTGCCTTTACAGCTTTTGCTATGCTTCAGTTCAAGAGGAGGAAATTCAGAGGCATCACTCTGCTACAAGCTAAAGGTTCATATAATTTAGCAAAAATGAATGACAATTTTCTTTTGAGGAATCCGAAAATGCATATTAAGTGGCATTAGGTTGACTAATCCCCATACAAGCTATCCAGCAAAGCAAGCATACATTTGGAAAACATCTGTGGTCTCTTTGGCTCTTAAAAAAAAAATAATCCATGACCTGTGTTATTGACTCTGTCAGAGGAAGCATCTTGTGCTGCCACGTTCTTTGCAAGACAAATACGCTGGAGCTTGTGCCTGGCACTGTCCAGTGGAGCCTTCTACTTACACAGGTAATAAAAACAGGTTCTCAACCCCTCCTCAAAGCAGCCCAGAGCACACACAACCATGTAGAGCATAACAACCTTGTTGTATGTTGCACTGCCCTAACTGATCGCTCAAAGTAAACAAAAAAAAGCTGAGCACAAACCTACACCCCCTAAGGTTTAATGAACAGTGTAACCACCTCAATTTTAAACATTATCTTTATTAAGTAACAGATTAGGTAATACTGAAAACAGACATGAGGATTCCCACCACAGGAAATGTTGCTCCTGTACACGGGTAGGTACACACACACTAAAACCAGGCCAGATTGATGGGTTTGGGGAGGTTTGCTTTTTGGGGGTTGGGGATTTTTTTTTTTTTTTTATTGAATCTGTGAGGTAACCAGCACAGACACAGAACAGCAGTTCCTAGGCTCAACAAAGCTCCTCCTGCTGCACGCTGCATGCCCAGCAGGCATGTGTTTGCATCTCTCATCCCACGGAAATGCTTTCCTTCATCGTCCTCAGCTGAGCAGCAAGGTCACAATTTTGCCACTGCACAGATACCAGGAAACTTAATTTTCTCTGCAAGGCTCTCGCATATAATAGTTTGACCTATAAAAGCACTATGTTGATACCTATTAGAAGTGATAGTAAGTCAATGCCAATTAACTCCAGGACATCTAACCGATGCTGCTAAACCACAGTGACAACAGTTTTCATTTTCACATTCCCTACCAAAACAAAAAGCAAGCTGAAGACCAATGTGATTAATAAAAAAATAAAACGTGAGCTCAGATTCATATCCAAGAGCCGCTAAATCTATTCCATATTATCACAGCAAGGAAAAGTCAAAACAAAACCATTTCAGAGACAACCAGCACCTCAGCAAAGCCATAGCACCTCTTCCCACAGCCAGGGCTGAGGCGGCTCCATCTGTGTTGGGACATTTCAGAACCACTGCATTTTTTTAGTTTTGTTTGTTTGGGGTTTTTTGTGTTTTTTTGTTTTTTTGTTTTTGTTTTTTTTTTTTAAGAGTTTGTCTTTTTAGCAATGAAGTACCAGGAAACACCTCCAAACAGCATACAAGCTGAAGTCAGCAGCATTATTTGAAATAACATAAATGCAGTCTGAGAGAGCTAGACAGTCTCCCCCCATTCCAGACACACTTCAGTGCCCAGAATGAACTTGGGAGCAGGAGCAGCCTTGCTCTTGGAAACAGAACAGCAGCTCTGGGGTTCCTGGTCCTCCAATCTTCTTTTCCCACATGCAGATACAATGCCTGTTTTGGAGCTGCCACTGTCCCTTTCTGTGGGAAGAGGGAAGAGCAGCAGGTACAACCACCCAGGGGAGGGAATCACACCTCCTACGCTATGGCAAACACGCAGCCTTATCAGTGCACAACTATTTCAGACAAACTATTTCACTCCCTGGGGTCCCGTTATCTAGGGCCCCCTGCATGGCCTCGCCTCTATTTTTACAGTCACAGTTATCATTGTATTCCCTGCATAGCTGTGCTGACAGTCTCCTAAAACTATGCACTACTATTAGTGCATACACAAAGGTGTCCATCACCACTGTAATTGTATCACTTCCTTCCTGTAAATAACAGTTGTTGTTGCCGCCACTAGAAAGAAAACAGCATTTCTTTCAAGTAAGTCTCAGACTAAATATATTGGATTATTGAAGAGCTAATCAAAACGTGGGGGGTTTTGTTTCTCTATTTTATTTTAAGACACTCATCTCCTTCCAACAACTAGAAAATAGACCAGTTATATTTATCTTTTAACTGCAACAAATATTAAACCAGCTACTCAGTTTATAGCAAGGTGTGCAGTCCCACTGACCTCAGGAAATCAACGCTCATTTACTCCAACCTGAGCATCTGATGTCCCGGACAGATCTCAGAGGGCTGCAGTTCTGGAACCCCAGTAAAAACAAACACTGATTTATAGAGTCACCTCTGTTCAAGTCCTTTTAACACAGAAAGCAGTTGGACAGTCTCTTTTGGTTTTTTTAATCAATGCTGTTTAGAAGTTTTTTAAAAAGGGAATCGCCCTTAATTTTTCACATGACCAAAACCAAAGGAAGATTTCAGCTCAATTTCCAAGACCCAAATAACAAGGTGTATTAATGTTGCAGTGGTACCCGAAAGCATGCAAGGCAGCCAGGAACATACAGCACCTGCTCAGAGGCTATAAAATTATCTCACACAAGGGAACAAGACGACATCAGGAGAATTAGAACATGTGCAACACCTGTGATCCAGCCCAACCTGAGGCACAGGTCACTTGAGAACACACCCAGATTCCCCCATCCATGAGGTGTAAAATTCCATTCATGAGATTGTTGAGAAATTTAAATGCCGTGGTGTTATTTAAATAGTATGTTTCTTGTTCTAAAGGACAAACGCATAATCGCGTATTGCTATTATAGATCGTAACTAATTTGAAGACATATTTCCAAGCCCATTTTCCTCAGCTGCAAAAGTAATTTACTCCCAGCCCTACCAACCCATCTAATTCTCCTACCACCATATGCGTTTGCAGGGCAACACTGAACTGCTTAAGTAAAATGAAGTGAATCTTAGAAGAATAAACAGTATGGGAAGAGGTTCCAGTGTTTTTGTTTAGTTAACCTGAATAATTTCTCCTGTTCAGTTCACAGCTCCATGAAGAGCTGTATCAGTACAACTGATAGAGAGCAAACTGGACATAGAGGCAAAACTGGAAAAGCCCTGAACTCGGCTCTTCTGGCAAACAGAACATTCCAGATCACTGTGGTTTTCAACAGCATCATTGTCATCACTTGCGCTACTCCCTGCCATTTTTGTTTTGTGATTAGGTGGTCTTGTGCCATTTTCCTCATGGGTTATTAACCTCTCACCTTGGTTTCAGTTCTCCTGGTGGTTCCATCTTCAGAAGTGACAATAGAGACATGGGAAGTGGGAGTGCCTGGGTCTTCCTCCACAGTAACTGTCTCTTCCACCATTTCTTGAGGCTCTTGCATCATTGCTATTGATGTCTGGTTACTGGGGCTTTGTTCCTAAAGAAGCAGGGGAAAAAAAAAAAAAAAATTAAGTTTTCACTTCTGCCATCATGGTAGAACTATTCTATTGATTTCAGCTTTCTCGACTGAAAAAACACATTTTACCCAACAACTTGCCAGCTGAGATTCAGAGAAAGAAGTATTTACTGCCTCGAAAAAGCACGCTGCAGCCACTCTGGTATGGCTGAGCTCAGCTCAGTAAATGGAAATCACGTGAAGCATATATCAAGCACTTCATATTTATAGGCAGCCTACTACAGACTAGCAGGCTACTACCTTATATTTAAACCTGCTTTAGCCTTTCTCTCCAAAGCCCAGCGTAGGAGTGGCATTTCTGTCTGTAAGGACATTCATTCTTTTCTGCACTGAACAGGACCATTGGCTTTCAGAGCTGTTGATCTTACACACTATTAAAAGTTTATTTCCATTGGATAAAATACACTCAGCTGCAGACTACAGAAGGTTATAAAACATCAAGACCTACTGTTAAACTGGCACCTTTCTCAAACCGTCCAAAACAACCATAATTTAAAAGAGCAGATAGCTAGAGATTAATAGCTAAATTATATGAAATGCTACCCCTTCTGACACCTTCCCTTCACTACGTCCATAAGATCTAACTGGCCATAAGCTTATTTAAAATTTATAACAGTTAGACAACCCAAAGAAACACTGAACAGAAAGCAAGTAGATCAAAGGCAGGTTCTTGCAGGGATAGTGCCCAAAGAGAACGCTTCTGCCTCTCGCCAGCACCAGCACCTGAACTTTCCTTTTTCTTTCGCAACGGTGTCTCAGCACAGAAATCACAGACGCTCCCCTTTGGCAGATGAATGTATTTCAGAAGTTTCACAGCAAGTGGCCAATAAAGAACTGGCTTACATACTGAGAAATAAAACTTTTCCCCAGCATTATGAATCCTCCACTATGTAAAATGAAATGACAGACTTTCATTTCATTATATGCCCTGAAGGTACGGGGCTACACAGGCCTCAAAGCCAAAGCAGGGCTTCTATTTGCACATCTCGTCAAACAGGCACACAAAGGACATCCTGTACTAAGGAATACAGACACACGCGCGCTTTTTTTCCCCCATTTAAAAAAAAAAAAAAAAAAAAGATAAGGAATGACACAAGGCCCTAAACTGTAAGTGATCACACTTTCCCTAAAGAAAATACCATGGGAAAATTCAGTGGACCTTTTCTCATCCCAGGAAAACAAAATGCCTGGGATGAAACTGTTGCCATGCGCGTGTTGAGTCTAGTTACACCAAGGTTTAAACATTTTCTACCTGTGAGTTGCTTCATCACCAGGGAACTACAACATTTTATTCTGTAACATTTTGTTTAGAAAAATCTCATTTCATCCCAAGGATTGGCCCCTTTGCTGTGCCACGTTTGGTGCAAGCACTGCAGGACAGTATCCCTCCAAGTGACCTTCTGCTTCTGAGCCGGAGCAGGGTACTCGGGTCTCATTAAGCTCCACAGGGAAAAGTGTCATTTAATCCTTGTGTGATCTGTAATTCCCTTTGAAATGCGCTGAGATGCCCCTGCTCAGGCTCCTTTATTTACAGCTGTATTCTGGCATTCTGGACCCTCAGTAAGGAAGCCGCTTTCACTTTCAGGTAAGCGCCAGTATTAACCCAGACCGTGACAATAAGCCTCAGGCAATCATCTCGGTCAAAATGCAACATGGACAGCCTTCAAAGATAACGCATGCTGGACCACCAGAGGTGATATAACCCGGCACTACTCCCATTTCTACTGAAACCATAGAACAACTCAGGCTGCAGAATCAATCAATGAGAATAAGGCTTCTCAAATCCTAGAGAAGATCCCTCCTTCCACCCTGCAGTACTTAATCATTATGGCCAATAACTTACGATACACACTGCATCCTTTATGGTTCAGGTGTCAGCTTCAAACATGGACAGCCTTCAAAGATAACGCATGCTGGACCACCAGAGGTGATATAACCCGGCACTACTCCCATTTCTACTGAAACCATAGAACAACTCAGGCTGCAGAATCAATCAATGAGAATAAGGCTTCTCAAATCCTAGAGAAGATCCCTCCTTCCACCCTGCAGTACTTAATCATTATGGCCAATAACTTACGATACACACTGCATCCTTTACGGTTCAGGTGTCAGGCTGGGTCTTCCACCCACAGCTTCGGAAACCATAGAACAACTCAGGCTGCAGAATCAATCAATGAGAATAAGGCTTCTCAAATCCTAGAGAAGATCCCTCCTTCCACCCTGCAGTACTTAATCATTATGGCCAATAACTTACGATACACACTGCATCCTTTATGGTTCAGGTGTCAGCTTCAGAAGGAAAACTAGCTCCTGGCACAAATACATTAATCCCTTCACATTTTTCTTGAAGATACCACATTCTACCTGCAACTCCCTTTTCCCCACCCCACAATAAAGCTCCCCTCTAAACAGAGGAATTTACACCACGTTGCACTACAGTAAAGACTCAGAACTTCTATTCATCTTTGTGCAACCCCAGCCTTGCCAACAGCAAAGAAACCAGCTACATGGAGAGATTCTTTCCATTACACCTTGTCCCTGTAAACCTCCTCGTCATCTCCAAGATGCCAAAACTGCTCAAGGTGGGACCTTCTCACTCCTCCCACACACACACATACACACATCTCATCCATCACCCTTAACTGCTCAAGGTGGGACCTTCTCACTCCTCTCACACACGCACATACATACACACATCTCATCCATCACCCTCATTTCCAGCTGCATCTTGAGATGACTGCAGGAATTTACGTCTTTCTCCTCCCCTTCAGATTCTTCAGAGGCAAATTCTGTTTCATGATAATAATTCTGAGGAGATGGAAGGTAGAAAGAAATATTTTGCTTTTTGAGCTTTTGCAAAACTTTTTCTTTATGAAAAAAATAAAGTCTCCCTTTGTATTCAGACTGCCTGTGGGCAAAGGAAACCTTTAAAGCTGGGCGCTTAAATATGAGCAAATTGCAAACTAGAGCATATTGACTTTAAATGAGCACTGTGCTAGTTTTTATCCTCTGGCTGCTTCTAAAATGGAGATGTAGGGTGATATAGCACAGATCTGCATTCCTACAAGAAAAAACTATTGTTAGCAAGAGACTGTCTTAAGCATTAGAAAGAATAAAAGCTTGCAAAGTTCAAGGCAGATAACCCAACACAGACAAGTAACCAGACCCATCTTCTTGTGTCTCCCTTCGTGTCATGGGAGCTGCTGAGGGGAGCACGGGAACGGAGAGGACAGCACGTCATCTAGTTTACTCTTCCCTGAATCAGTTTAAGGAGGTGTTTTTTTGATCTCCAAAACCAGCACTTTCTTCACATTGCTAACTTGGAGTTGTCATGAGCTAACATTCATGTAGAAAAGATGCAAAGGTTTTGTTATCCATTTTTAGTTTCCATCATTAAGGATTTTAGGTCATCACAAATTGCAGAAACTGGGACACATAGCTCTTTCAACCACCTTCCTCTGTGCTCAGCTTCTAAGCCAGTTTTTAAGATGCTCTTTTGCTAAATACATTTCAGCATCTCAGATTCCAAACAGAGGCAGGTAAGCCTCATTGTTCACAGGGAAACACAAGTTGCCAGAGCTGGAACATGACACACCAATGAACAACCCTACCAGGAGTTCCCTGCCTGCTGGAGGTAGGCAATCCCAGTTTAGAATAACACACACTCCTTACTTTACATTACGAGGGCTTTCAAAGCAGAGCAAGCAGACAGTTCCTCTTTTCCTACCACCCTGGCCAAGGCCCCATGGTCCTTCCCATCCTGTCAAGCCAGAGGATATTCCCCAGCAGAGGAGGATGCACCATGCCACAGCAATCACTGCCATCAGTGTACTGGGGAGACCAAACCTAAAGGGAGCTTCTTTCCAGTCCTCTTCAAGAGGCAACCACTGGGATCCTTGACAGCTCCTGCAGGTTGTCTCCCTCCTCCTGCTGAAACACTCCAGGCACCACAGGCCGAAGGAGAGGAACGGTGCCAGGGAGCACCAGGGGCCATTAGCTCCCCGAGGGACATGGCACTGAGGGGATGGCTGGGATGGGGTCCACTCCCACAGCACCCCAAGCAGGAGAGACCCGAGATGGTGGCCAGGCCCAACCAAGAGGCAGTACAGGGTGATGAGGGAGGCTGGTCAGGATGGGGTCCAGTGACAGCCAGGCAGCCCCACCAGGACAAGGCTGGGTTTGGATCAGCAGGGTCCAGAGCTGGGTATGGCTATGGCCCAGCTGGAGACAGGCAGTCTCCAACATGGCCCATGCATGGGCTGAGCTTAAGTAAAGCTCCCAGGTCTGTAGGTGGAAGCCCCACATGAAGCTGGTCAGGGCCACTGAGGAATCCCCACTCCCCACAGGAGCGCTCCTGCAATAAACACACATTTCAAGGTGATTTCAAGGGACTGGAGCAGCTCTCTGATGAGGAAAGGCTGAGACCTGGGGCTGTTCAGCTAGAGAAGAGCAGACAGAGAGGACCTCATCAATGTTTACCAGTATCTAAAGGGCAGGTGGCAAGAGGATGGGGCCAAAATCTTCCCAGTGGTGCTCAGCGACAGGACAAGGGGCAATGGGCACAAACTGGAACACGGGAAATTCCAACTCAACATCAGGAAAAACTTCTTTGAGGGTGGCAGAGCCCTGGAAGAGGCTGCCCAGAGAGGGTGTGGAGTCTCCTTCTCTGGAGACATTCAAACCCTGTCTGGACACAATCATGTCCAACTTGCTCTGGGTGACCTTGTTCTGGCAGGGGTTGGACTGGATCATCTCCGAAAGTCCCTTCCAACCCCAACCATTCTGTGATATATCCCCCCCAAATTGCCAAGCGTTATCCATGAGATCCCTTTCAAATAATAATCTAATAACCCTTGGCTCCTTCCAAGAAGATTACAAAACACCACTAAATTACAAGAACAGATTCCAAGCCAGTTAATGCATGCTGTGTCGGGAATTACGGCTTTTCTCCCTGCTTTTTTTAGTACAAAATGAATCCCATCCTGTTGATCTGTGCTTGCATTTCCACCATGGTTTTAAAAAGACAAGCTATTTAAAAAGCAAAACAACAATCAATTTATCCCCAGCCTGTAAAAGTTAAGTGCAGATGAAACAGCTAAAGACCTTGTAAAATAAGAATCATAAAATAACAGTAATTTTTGTTTTGTTAAAAAACAGAATGATTTACCATTTAGGGCACATATCTCCTAGGGCTTATTTTGCATTAGAATACTACAGCTTCTATAATCATCACCATTTCAATTCCTAGAGTTATATTTCCATCAAAGCAGCTACTTTATATCTTTTTTAATAAAAGAATAACCTCCCCCAGGAGAATCAGACATCCTACTTTAAAGCAGTAAACAAAGTTCTTTATTCTCTGCCTCTGAAACAATTTAAACCAGCCTGGAAATAATACAAAATTGCAGGAGATGATTACTTCCACTGAAACAGTCCGTCTTCAAAAACACTGAAAACATGCACATCGAATCCTCATTCTCCCAGAGATACCCTTTGTTCAGCAGATTGCAATTCAGGCTATTCAGGCTACTGCTCTCTCCAGGCTACTGTCAGATACCAAATTTGAAGGTTTTTGCAAAGCACAAAGGCTGGATTCTCCAGCAGTGGACATACTTGTCCTCACTCAACCCCAGCACAGACAAAGCTCAAGTGTATCAACTGCTGTGAAACACATCACAAGTCTGGGCATAATTAATGGCACTGGACAACAATGCTAATTGAATTAAATGTGGATTCGCTCTCCTCCTAATACTCTTTGTTTAAATTACTTATTAAAGCTGCAATCTCTGCAAAACATAACATTATTTATAAGTTCAAAGCAGGCAAACATCAGCTTTGTCACGGTCAAGCCTCACGCCGGCGTCCTGCCCCCCTGTTCTCCTTCCACCTTCGGTCTGGGCCTCCAGCTCCCTCATGGCCCCATGTTGGCTGTTTGCTGAAGGCGGGTGGAGGAGAGAGGAAGACAAAAGAGGCAAGTCTGTAGGAATACATCAACCCAACAAGGCTATCTCAGGATCTGCATCACATCGGCATCCCCATGGACACCAAAGAGGAAGAAAGTCACTGGTGGAGTTCATTAGACTTGAGGTATTTGTAGCAGACCTCTCTCCAGTCTGGAGCACCAGAACACCAAAAAGCACACTGAACAGCCCATCCCAAAACCCAGGCAGCATCTAACAGTGAGAGAGAGTTTGCAAGAGAGGCAGTGATTTGAAGATGGGAATATATAAATATCTAGTTTGCTATATATAAACCAATCTCCGTTTCTCCGGTTAAATGTCATGTGAAACAAAACGTGCTCTTTATATATATAAATATATATATCTATGTATATATACAATGGATTCAGCTCACTTCAATGTGAACCCAACCACATTAACCCACGACAAGTTCGGGGCTCTGTGAGAGCCCTGACACAAGCTCTCCCCTGGGGCTGGTCAGTTGGGAGCAGAGGGAAAGGCCCAGCCCCAGGTGCCAGCGGGCTGGCCTGGCATGGGCACCAGAGTGAACTCAGCCACACACCACAATGCACTAACTGTTTCCCGAGCACTTACACGCTTCCTTTGTCCTTTAGAAACACACACGACAAGCAACTAACAAATAACGCCGAGAGCATTTAAAGCACCAAGGTTAAAAAGGAACATTTCAGCAACTGGGGAAAAAAAAAAACCCAACCCTCAACTACCAAAGTTTTGAAAAGCCACAAAGAGCAGCTTTTTTTGCAAGCGGGCATGGTAATTCACCATCTGAAGGCATCACACCTTTCAGGGAAAGCAAGAGGCGGAGGTGAAGGAGAAGGAATCAAAACCCAGACAAGGCCCATGCAGTAATAGTCATCCCTCAAGTGCTGCGGGACACACTGGGGTTCTGTTCAGCCACGCGGTAACTGCCCATCAACAGGGAAACCTACAGTGCTCGCCCAACGGTCAACAAAGAGGGCTTTTATGCTATTTTAAACAATCTGAAGTGTCTCAGTTAATGGAAGACCGGGCAATTGGCCCTCGACTATTTCTAATTGACTGGAATGATGGATGAAGCTAAAGGGAAAGCTGACCCACTGAACTTTTCCATACAAAGCTAGAAAACTGAAGGAGATTGTAAACAGTTTATAAGAACGAAGAAGTGGGAGAGGCAGAATCCCAGAGGCTTTGCTCCTCTCAACCTGCTGGTAAGTAAGTTGTTTCAGACGAAGGAAAACAAAGAGCTTCAACTCAGAGCAACAAACAACAAAAAAAATATGGGGAAGGCCTAAACAAATAGGGTATTTTCCCATGCTCTCCTCCCCTTTCTCCAGGAGCTACTTAGCTCTGCCATGCAAGCTGGGCCTTTGAATCAGAAAGGGCAATTTGTCACTTTGACAAGCAAGACGTCTCTTAGGGCTCTGTATTGCCTTGCCCTGCTTTTCAGATTGACTGGGTGTTAACCAGAGATGTCAAGACATTACATCTCCGTCAACTTCAACGGATGTGACAATATATGCTTAAAACGTAGGTGTTAATCAGTCCCACTACACCAAAGGTAGCGCTCAGCAAACCACGCGTGCCCACTGACTCTCAGAACAAAACTATCACTAGGAGCTTTTGTACTGCAGAAGGGCATTACAGCTCCTAGGAGAGAAGGACGAGGATACACATCTTCCAGGTAGGGACAGGGAGGCATAACAGGTTCAAATCCACAGCATCTATCGTCAGGCAGTGTACGGAGACATCCAAATGCACAATAACTTAATTCTTCCTCTTTAGTCAAAAAGAATAGGAACTTCAGAAAACGGTTCAGATCTTTCCAGATAAAAATCACCTCCTTGGACACATCCAGTTCTTGCTGTAGATTCTGCAGAGCAAAGACACCAAGCACTTCAAGGAAGCATTAAAGCTGGGGGATGAACCCGGGACTCAGAGCCTGATGGAAGAAGCCTGTGGTAGAACCCAGAACTGGGTGAGGGCGTCACAATTCATCATTCAGACCATTAGCCACAAGCCCTGTTTCTCCCCCGGTGGTTCAGCAAGATGGAACAGTAGAACAGAAGCATAAGCTGTTATTTTTAACATGAAAATGATAAAGGCAAAAAAAAATTAAAAGAATGAACACCTGGCACACACAGTGTTAGGGCTAGCACTATTTCTCTTAGCTGTCAACAGCACGGCTAGTGTTTATCTGGAACGGTTGCCCACTAGGAAACCATACTAAATGAGCAGGAAATGACTGTTTCTCACCAAGATTTGTACAGAGAGTTCAGTGATTTGCCAAGCTGCCTCCCAAAGGCAAACACAATGCAAACCTGCATGCCTAATCTGTGACCAAACCCACACCAGATCCGACTTGCTTCCTCTCTGGAGTCTTTCAGATGAACTAACCAAGGCTAAATTAGGGAGATTTTCAGTGGGATGGGGTTACATCATGGGTTACAATTTTCCAGCAAGCTTTTTCCTTCATCTCCACCTGCTGCCTCTCCAATGCTGGCACCAGGGGCGGTGGGGGATGACTCATTCCTATGTTCCTTTCTGCGAGACAGGCATCCAGCTTTCATTGCTTCTCAGCCCCACAGAGTTTGGGTTGTAAATTAATTACTAGGTATCAAGTCCAGACACTTACATGCACATAGGAGTCAGAAGTACAAGCTACGTCCTTCATCTAAAACAAAAGAGAGAAGGGTCAGTTTGGCAGGGCGCAGCAGCAGGTCTCCAGGCTAACACACACACACACACACACACACACACACCCCTACTCCTACTGCTATAGAACTACCTTAGAGAATTGCTTTTTTAACTTTAAGGCAGACGCAAGCCATCTCTGCATTCTCTGGATTGTGACTAAGACTGAAGATTATTTGGGTGCCCTAGCAGCCATATCACATCACCTTAGATTTAACTAATCCCCTCACCCACCCACAATCTTGCCTGTAGATTTGAACTACGGAACAAAAGTGCTTTTTGTGGCAAAAGACACTGCCACAGCACAAAATGCAAAAAAAAAAAAAGCTTTTATAATCTTGAGGGAGGCAGAACAAACAGATCACTGATGAATTTTTAAGCCCGCATTCCAAGAAAGCCATTTCTTAAATAAATTATTTCTCATTCTAGGGAATACAAAGTGATTGACAATAAATCTAATCACCCGTCTCGTAAGGAATGGGCTTGCCAATGTCTCCCACTATGAAGCACCAAAGCAGGTTTGCTTGGCACCAGGACAGCAGGATGGCTTCAGTCCAAAGGGCTCCCCACGAGATTACCCACCTTAAATCACAGTCCGATTCTTCCCTCTGCATCTCACCCCCTTCCCTCCCAGCCCTAACACACACACCACCCTCCAAATAAACCTCCAAATAAACCACGGCAGGAAACGTGTGAACAGCCTCTAACAGAGGCCCCGCTCTCAATATTTTTAACCCTGGGGAGCAAAAATGTGATGGCAGGAACGGAGCTGGGCGGGAGGTCTCTGGCTGAGCACAGCTCCATCTGAACACCAAAAGACACAAACAAGCCAACAAAGCCAGAGGCCGCTCTGTTTGCTGTAAATCTTCCAAATGGAAGAGATCCCAGCAGAAGGACAATTTTCCCAAGCGCGATGCAGTTACTGTGCTATTTTAACTCCCCAGGAGAGCTCACCAATGGCTTCCCCCCCCCAGGAGCCCGTTTATTTCACACGTTCTCAGTTTATCTCGTAAGACCGAGCGTACAACCCCGACTTGGACACGGACAGTCCTCACTCAGAGTGGAAAGACAGCAGCCAGACTTGCTAAGCCAGCGTTAAACTAGCAATAAACAGCAGAAAGAGAAGAATTAAGGAAAAAAAAAAAAAAGAAAAAAGAAAGAGAGCAGTTAGACATTAGGGAAATGCTGAGTAAGAACTTTTATCATCTCTATTTGGCACCTGCATGGTCACTACCAGGAGAAGCTGCTCTGCTCCCCTGTCCACAGCTGGGAGGGATGCGACACTGCAGAGGGCTCAGAGCACCCCAAAGAGAGAATGTCCCTCATCCAGCCCCTAGGTTCAAGCTCTTCACCTCAAAAACAAGGCGAAGGGACAATCTGATTATGGGTCTACCACCGAAAGGTGTAAGGGAAAGCTGATGGAAACCCTTCAGCCTCACAGGCAAAAGGTTTAACTAGTCCCAGTGCCAGGAAGCTGGGGCTGACAAGACACAAATGTCTTGCTTTAATTTTTAGACAGCAAGTGTGAGCAGTGCAAGTAAGAAAAACCTACATGCTAGAATTCTGCTAACCACTCAACAGGTTGGGCCTAATTAATTTTAAGAATCATGTTCCTATTTAATCAGAAGCCTGATTATAGAGACAGGCTCACGTTCAGTGACTGAAGGAGGAAAAAAAAAAAGAGATAAGGACCATTTATCCAGGCCCTGTCACCTAGAAAATTGATGGGAAACCACCGAGTCCATTCAGTGCACAATAAGAATGTTAAATATCGACAGTCAGGCCATTTAGCACGGACAGCCATTCCTGCATGATGAGCATGGATCTCAGACAGGAGAAGTCATTTAAGCAAAGGTGGAAGTCACTCGCCCAGAGGTAAATATCTTCACTAGTAAAGTAAAATAGCTCTCCATTTCTTCCTTAATTGTGTTTGGTTTTTTTTCCCCTCCATTTTACAGCAGCTGTGGCTAAATCTGGAAACATGCAGCTTCCCGCGAGCCCTCCCATCGCACCGCGTGTGCAGTCAGCACTCCTGGATTAAAACATTTGAATTGCAAAGTCCCATCACATTTGCCAACCACCCAATTATTTACATAGTATCTTTTCTGTATTATTATTTCTGATGTGCTTTTGTTTGGCACTTCACAATGGAATTCAAACACGATAAAGATTAAGACAAGACGCAGCCCTGGAGCTACCAATCTCAGTCACTTCCAAGCAGGTTCTGGGAGAGCCATTTCTCAATTGAACACACACAGACAACAAGAAGAGATCACACGGGATGAAATGAAGGACATTAACAAGCATCAGTCTGAAAACCAGATTCATGCTCCGAAAGCTGTACTTCCCCACAGCTGGCAGACAAGCTGTGAGATGGCTGTTCCAAGCCGGGGACAGGACAGCTGTGTTTCAGCTCCCACTCCTCGCTCTTGCTTTATGCCAGGAAAGGGAATATTCAATTTTTTCCAGAGGAGCCCTGCCAAGCTGAGGCTGCAAATAGGATACGGCGTGTTAGTAAACTTCCAGCCAGCCTGCTCCTAGCATGGCCAGAACTCCCCAAAGTGCCTTATTCCCTGCGTCCAGGCTGGTGGCAGGGACCACCCTGCCTTCATGGAAACCAGCCTCCTGTGCTCACCTCCCTTTGGCATCTCTACTATCCTAACAACAATAACACTGTTCTGGCAGAATATGAGGCATGCAGGTACCCAGCCTCATCTTCTCTCCTTTATATAAAAGGAACTACTTCCATAAGACCCACCCCCACTACTTCAATTTTGGCAGAAATGAAGTGGTTCTTACAGTGAAACTCCCCTAAGTGCATTAGAGGAACGAATTTCTCTGTGAAGCATTGGCAGCCCTTGTATCATCTGTACACACAGCTGTCCTTCTCAGGGTTCAAATGAAGATGTTTTATTTTTCTTCCAACTCGTTGCAAACAATCAAAGAATAAACAGCCAGTCATCCCACCCACCTCTTCTTGAGCTGTCGGACAGACTCACTCAGTACAAATTTAGCAGCAGTGAATCCCCACCAGTGATGAACACCTGCAGAAATTCACACTGGAGTATTCATTCTCCTTTGGCTTCCAGCTTTTGGGTTTACCCTGTTCCTAAGAAGAGAGCGATGCCTTTTAATTCTTCCCCAGTCCCCAGCAGCCCAAAAATACCTCCAAAAAGGAGGAAGAGTAAGAATAAGAGTAAAAATGGGAAGAGTAAGGTGTCATGTGAAGCCAAATCAGTGGCTTTTACACACACACAAAAAAAAAAGTGGTAGGAACAGAGGGGGGAAGGGTATGGAAGTAGGAGAGAAATATCCCAGTCTTTAATTCCATCACGTTAACACCGCTTTGGCTCATGGTATAAATCTTTTGATGAGCAGTAGCTCTCTCCACACGCAGCAGTATATTAAGATGCTTTTTTAAGGCTTTCCAGACAACACAATGTCATTCCTTGGCTCCTCACGCAGTTTGCCTCCACTATGGCTCTGTTGCTACGCTCTCGTTAGACGCGGATCTGCTGGTACTTACTGACAGGGAAGAGATGATAAAATACAAGAAACCTGAACACCAGCCCAGCATTCGATTTTGCACCCGTGAATGCTCCCAAGCGACAGTCCAACACCTTGCTTGGGCCTCACTGATCCTTCCACAGACCATCAGGATGAACTGATTGCACCCGAGATGCTCCATCCTGCCCCTGGAGCCATTCATCTGGGAAAAGGAGAGGAAGGGTCTTCCTGAGACCAGACGTGCCCCGACCCACCTCCCACAGCAAACACCCCCCGCAGGAGCTCGGGATGGGGCAGGAGCACAGCCCCGAGCCACAGACACCAGGGGAGCACGACAACAGCACAGCACAAAGAGGGAGCCAAATTAATAAATCTTGCTTACAAGGGCTGACAGCGAGTCAGGGAGAGGGAACGGAACCATCTCGCTCTTTGGGTGAAAACAAAGATATCCATCCTCGGTGGCAAATGCTGTCAAACACCAATGAACACTTCACACACCACAGGCAAAAACCAGCCTGATTCTGCACTTAATTCAATTATCCAAGCGAACAGTGACCAAACACATCAGCATTTACAGCTTCCCACCAGTTATCACTTCACACATGCAGAAATTAAATCAACTTCTGAAGAAGGAATCACCAGCAACTCTGATCACAGGGAAAGAACCCAGAAAAATATTTTTGCCATGAAGTTTAAACCAAGAACAGCTCCATTTAGAAAATTAAAGGAAACCTAAGGATAATCATAACATTCACTTAACAAAAGCCACCGACATATCATAACAGTCTCTTAGTCTACATCTAAAATGTGTTTGGAAACCCAGAAAATACACTGGAAAACGTGCTCTGAATACCCTCAGCAGTAGCCGTTGCAGCTATTCTTAATCCTGGCTTTGTAAACTTTGTAGACATAATTCACTGTGCTTTCGGATCCATAATATTTTGCGAAGCGCTGCAGTTTGCTGGCTTAAAAATGGGCCCCGCCAGCTCCCGGGGTGGAAAGATTCCTGCTGACTTCATGTATCATTTCATTGCACTCATCAGGGATTAATAATTTTCCCTGCTGAAGATATAGGCTGCAAGCACTAAGTAGAAAAGGTTATACATGTGTCTGAAAAGCACTGGTGACATTTTGATAGGTGATATTTAACTACCCTCATAAAGACATTAAATATAAATTGTACTAATGAAAAACAGCGTTCTTCATTAAAAAGTGAAAAGCACATAAACAAGCCAGCAGTGACTGAACACTGCATAGCGCTGCTTAGAACATTGAATCATGTTCTGAAATAGCCAAATTATTTCTTATTTATTTACTATTCACTATTTATAGGTGTATTCAGAGAGATTTTCCTTGAGGAAGGGAGACGGGGCGTGCGGCAGCTGCTCTATCACACTGATTTATCCATGACCACAGGTATTCAGACATTAATAAAAGATGCTTCATTCTTAACTAATTAATTTCAAAAAATCT